TTATATGTCTTTAATATATTGCTACTTCCTCTCGAATCATTAGTTTGTTTCTAAATTTTTAAAAATGTCTTTGATTTTTTTAATGTTCATTTTTGGAACTTTTGAAGATAGAGTTAAGAATATTTTCTTGTCATTATTTTTTTTGTCATATTTTAAAAGATGTGAAAAAACCATTAAAGTTTTGTGTATTTTTTGTAATAATGGAATTTTAAAATTAATATATTATGCGAGTCAAAAGTAAAGAAAAAATCGATTAAAGAATAATATTGATATTCTGATATACAGAGGATGCGTGTAAATGGAATGTCGTCTTCGTCATTTTTTTTAGGAAAAACTTTCATTTTGCATAACGTTGTATACCATTGTAAAAAGTTGTGTATTCATTGTACAATTTTGGCATGTTCAATAAGTTCTACAGAAACTTTAACAAATAAATTGATTTGAGATCTTTAGTTTTTAATTTTTTATATAAGCGTTTTTTAATCAAATTTATTAAAATATTAATATTTTTAATTAATTCATTTCAATTTGATTTTTTTGACCATTGGAATATTTTTGAATTTTTTTATGTAAAGAAAATACCTTGAATGAGGTCCAGTGTTGTTGGGCCGGAAGGGCAGTAACTGCCAAAAGAGCTGCAGCGAAGACAATGAATAATTTCATTTTGATTTTTCTGGAAAATAAAGAGTGCGATATAAGGAACTACATCCTAAATTCAACAAGCAGTAACAGTGCAAGTTAAATTTCTGGATTTACAAATTAATTAAAATTTTATTATATTAAATCTGGCATATTTTGGAGTCATAAATATCAGTCTAGTAATATTATGCCTATGATCTAATTAGTGTTATTGATATTTATTTTAATATGCAAAAATTTTAAATAAAATTTTTAAATACAAATTATGATTATGTGAGAAAATCATATTTTCTGATTGAATAAAAATTGATGAAACTATTATTAAGTAATGATTAGGTAATATGCTTATCAAAATTATGTTATTATATAATGATAAAATATTTAACAGTAGTATTATTAAAAAGACTTACCTAGATAGAACAACAAAATGAATGATACCTTGTCTGTTTTTTGCCAAGTATATATATACTAAAAATCACCACTTGAATAAGTATTATAAAGCAATAATGCCGAGTAACGAACTTAAAACTTATCTATCTATTTTATCTATCACAATAATATTTCATCAGCATTATAACTTATGTTAAAAATCTAATGTGTCCAACACATGATTTTCCTATCTAGTTATTATAGATTTTTTCCGGTTATTTTGTACAACCTATTGCAGAACCTATATAACTAGAGGATAAACTAAATATATACATTTTTCACACACATCTACCTCGAAACATTTTTCTATAGATAATTATTGAAAAAGAAAATACTGAAAAATTTAAATTTAGCACTTTTCCTACAATTTTTCGATTACAGTCCATTTTAGAAAAATCATTAATAAACAAAAATTATAGAAATCAATATCGCAAACAACTTTTAGTTCAACAATTTTCATAAATATCAGAATTTTGCACATTTTGTCAAATTTCTCGAATACGGACCATTTCAGGAAATTCTAACATAAAACAAAAATAATAGATAATAATATTAGAAGTATTTTTTATTTTAACAATTTTCTTCTCCAAACATAAATAACAGATATATTCCCTAAAAAAAAAAAATACGTGTAGCACTCGGGCACTGCCTCGGTAAAGCTATTGCATAGCATTTTTTATCTTATGCAATTATAATTATTTATTTATTTTATTTATGCAGTATCTTTTTTCTTTGATATTAATTAAAGTTTTTCTTTGATATTAATTCAAGTTACACTTTTTGAGCGTGGTGACCGATAAGAAAACAAATATTTTTCTTTTATTGAATAAATAAGAAGTTAGTATTGTTTAAAATATTTTTATTATCTAACATACATGTAGGTTATTCAGGAATTTTTATCATTGAAACTAAAGGTTTATGGTAACTGAAATAAAAAACAAGTTTAAGAATTGATATCCTCTAAATATCTGAAAATGCCACGTCAATGGTGGCCCCATATTTTTCTGTGGATTCTTGTGGATTATTATTCATTTTCAAATTCAATTTTTCCGAAATTGTGTCTAAAAGAGATAGAATCAGTTATGAGCAGTTAGCAGCTAGTCTACACGCATACATCTAGTCGCACGCACACAAACATCGTGCCGAAGTCTGCCGAACTGCAACGACGTTAGACGATGCACGATTTTTCGATTTTTCGATTTTTCGATTTTTCGATTTTTCGATTTTTTGATTTTTCGATTTTTCGATTTTTCGATTTTTCGATTTTTCGATTTTTTGATTTTTTGATTTTTTGATTTTTCGATTTTTCGATTTTTTGATTTTTCGATTTTTCGATTTTTCGATTTTTCGGTTTTTCGATTTTTCGATTTTTCCATTTTTCGATTTTTCGATTTTTCGATTTTTCGATTTTTCGATTTTTCGATTTCGATTTTTCGATTTTTCGATTTTACGATTTTTCGATTTTTCGATTTTTCGATTTTTCGATTTTTCGATTTTTCGATTTTTCGATTTTTCGATTTTTCGATTTTTCGATTTTTCGATTTTTCGATTTTTCGATTTTTCGATTTTTCGATTTTTCGATTTTTCGATTTTTCGATTTTTCGATTTTTCGATTTTTCGATTTTTCGATTTTTCGATTTTTCGATTTTTCGATTTTTCGATTTTTCGATTTTTTGATTTTTCGATTTTTCGATTTTTCGATTTTTCGATTTTTCGATTTTTCGATTTTTCGATTTTTCGATTTTTCGATTTTTCGATTTTTCGATTTTTCGATTTTTCGATTTTTTGATTTTTCGATTTTTCGATTTTTCGATTTTTCGATTTTTCGATTTTTCGATTTTTCGATTTTTCGATTTTTCGATTTTTCGATTTTTCGATTTTTCGATTTTTCGATTTTTCGATTTTTTGATTTTTCGATTTTTCGAGGGTGAATAAGAATTTATTTTCCACCCGTGTACGAATATGCTACATTCCGCAGTAGCTGTCACAAAATCTCAAATGCATCATTTCTATTTTGATCTTTGTTATGTCCATATTATTACTAAAATCGATATAATTGTTAAATTATTGAAATTGTTTTAAATTAAATCCTAGATATTTATCTTTAACAATTATTATTAAAAAAATTTAAAAATAACTAGGACAAGTTTGCTCTTTATTCTGGTTAAACACTCCGGTCGGAGTGGGGGTGTTTATTTTCGTTTATTTTCGTTACGGTGTTACGGAATTTCTTGATTGGGTCGCCGCGCTCAAAGCCCATAATAAAAGCTATGCAATAGCTTAATATAAAAACGGCCTCTAATCTAATCATTTTTATAGAAAAATTATTTTTTTTTATAATTTGTCAAATTTCTCGAATACGGACCATTTTAGAAAAATTTTGTGAAACACAAAAATTATAAATAAAAATATTAGAAGTAACTTTTATTTGAAATATTTTCTTCTCCAAACGTAAATA